ACCTGATATACTACATCACAATGAGATCTTAAAACTTAAAAGTACATTATCTCCTATCATAACTTTTGTTTTTTTTTTCAGACTCTCATACACTTTGCAAATTGCACGTAAACACAATCTTCCTGATGTTTGTTTAGATTCATTGTCTAATCTATACTATACCGAGTGTACCTATAGTCGACTGTTTTCAGAAAATTAGGCAACAAGTAAAGTGTTATCTCCAAATGGCATCTTATAATAGTAAAGCAGAATTGCAGGGCGGGTTGGAAGTAATTGAGTCTACACAACTCAAATACTTTCAGACCACGGGAAATGAAATGATTGCAGAACTGTATTCATTGAAAGGAATGCTTCTTGCTCAATTAGGTATAGTTCGTAAAAAAATTAATACGTCATGTTAATATATTACTTATTTGTGTATGTATATTTTAAATATTGCCATTATTATTTAATAGGGAGATCTGAGGATGCAAACAAAGCGTTCTCGTTTGCAATAAGCACGCACGACAAACTAGTTAAGGCTTGGGCATTGTGGGGTGATTATCTTGAATCTGTATATTCCCGAGATACACAAAAAAATATTACAATTGGAGAAAGTGCAATCACATGCTATTTACATGCTTGTCGCAATCAGAATGAATCTAAATCTAGAAAATATTTAGCGAAGGTAAAAATTCATAAATTTGTATAGAAATATTTGATATATTTTAATTTCTTCCTGAATCTACAATGAAACGATAAAAAAATACAATTTCTACTGTAGGTTTGCAATTGTTGTTTTAACATGTTTTGGACATATTTAATTTGGATATAGGTATCGTACTATGCTGGATTTGGAACAATGAATAGATTTATTAATTCCTGTGATAACTTAGATTATTTGTAGAGTATATATTAACGTTATTTGTGTAAATTATTTTTGATATGTTCTGAAATGTGCAGAATTTTTCCAAATATTCTTTATGTGCAGTCCAGTTTTCAACTGCAGGCACTGCAAACATAATTTTTGACATTTTCTGCTCTTAATAGGACCATTAGATATTTATATGTGCAGACATGTCCGGGGTTTATTAGAATATTAGATTGAAGTATTTTTAATGTTTCTTCCTTTCTAATGTTTTAAAGGTTTTGTGGATGATGGCCCAAGATAATAGCAATGGTGTATTAATGGCGGCCGTTGATAAATATGCAGGAAACTCCATTATTATTATGGCTGCCTTGGATTCCACAACTGCTTGTTTTCTTGTGCAATATAATAATACAGTATTATGAATTTATTGACGCAGGTAATCTTAATGATATTATTTTAGGAAATAAGTTTGCACAAATAGGTGATTGTAAAATTAATGTGACTAATTCTGTTAAAAAATTTAGATTGGCAGGATGTTTCCACAAGCAGTGTATTTTTAACACGTACAATGTACTTCACTCTAAAAATAGAAGAGCGAGAATGGCATAAGTTAAACAATCCCTCAACTCGCAGTCCTTCTACAGCTCAGCAGACACCAGTAAGCGAAGCGATTAAAGTGTCTCCCACCACATGGCGCTGCATGCGAATTATGAACATGCAAAAAGAAATACATCCAATGGTACTTTCATCCTTAGAGGGAATTATTGACCAGGTACGTACAGCGGTTTTATGGATCGACTTAGTCATCATGCCTGAGGTTGAAAAATAGCGAATTACAATAAAATTTCATCTAACTCCCCACTCTAGATATAAACATATTTATATGTATATATATGTAATATATATAATATATATATATATATAATATATATATGAGTGAGTTCTTGAGGGCGATACATCAACAAAGAAAAGCCAAAGATTTATAGAATAATCTTTATTTCCAAACGTTTTCGACATTCATTTTAATGTCATCATCAGTGGATCTAAAAACAGTATGAAAATTAGCATATCTAGGTAATTATAATATATGTGGATTGGTAAAGTAACTATACAATAAGAGAAAAATTAACAAACAGCAACACTTGACAAAAAACAAATATAAAAGATAGGAAAGGTAGTAGAGACTAGAATTAATATAATTAAAAAGTATAGGCAAAAATATTTAAGTACACTCATATAACTTACTTACGCATATATACATATATGTACGTACACATATCATATATATATATACTAATTATGTATAATACATAACTCACTCATATATATATATATATATATATATATATATATATATATATATATATATATATTAACAAAGTCTAATAATCGTGCATAACATCAAAAAAAACATGAATTCTTTCAAAAATATTTAAATCCATACGTTTCGGCTATAATCCTAGTCTTCGTAGTTATTCGTAGACTTACATCTCCACCATCTAGAATAACACACGATCCATTTGTGATTTTTTCAATCAGTATTTTGTGAAATATTGTGTAATTTCAGTTAATGTTATAAACATAGTGTAGTTGCATTACCATATCCTGATACCATGGATTATTAAAATTTTCCAATTTCACAAGATTAACTAATTTTTCCACTGAATGAAGGCTAGAGATATAGCCGAAACGTATGGATTAAAATAATTTTTGAAAGAAATTCATGTTTTTATTGATGTTATGCCCGATTATTAGACTTTGTTATACATATGTCAACAAAAATCAATTCAGAATCATACCATATATATATAATATATATTATATATATTATATATTCAATAGATAAGTCCTGGATTTTTCAATATATTGATTGTTTCTTTTCCGAAAGTAAATCCATAATAAAACAATATGTTTTTTGAAGATGTTTTAATACGACGTTTTCGGACTAGTACGTTCCATCATCAGGTTATTCGTAATAATTTATTATCCTATACTAATATTTTTTTGTTAAAAACACTCGTTTTTTTGGAGGATATTTGTAGATGTTACGACTACACAAGACTAACCACACTGTGTGATTTTTTAAATCATTGTGAATTAAAATATTTATTTAGATGGATTGGTTCCGAGAGAATGGTTATGAAGAAGTCTTACGACATTTACGCCAAGGGCTTGCCAAGTGTCATGCAGTAGCTTTTGAGAACGTGCTGCTGTGGGTAAAGCTCGAATCACGCCTCACACAGTAAATTTCGTAGAAAAGCTTGCAGCAACATTTGGAACTGGAATTGGTACACATAATTTTGTAATATATTTTAATATATATATATATATATATATATATATTTGTTATGTATAAGATTGAGTGCGCTTTTTACTTATGTTATTCCTTTGGTATTTATGTTTATATTTAGATATAACTATATATGTCGAAACGTATCTATACAATTAATCTTTAATGCTCTGATAAACTGTTTTTGTTCATATTCGAATTAACAATAACAAATTCAATTATTTATAGAGATATCTCAAGTTCAACTCATGCAAAATTCCGACAGCAGCCTCAGAATGTCTAGCTAGAAGAGCCGAAGCAACTAAACAAGATCCCGTATTTCAGAAGATGAAAGATCAGTTTAAAAAAGATTTCGATTTTAGTCAGCCAAATGCCATGAGATTACACAATCTGATTGGAAAATTCAAGAAATGGATTAAAATTTTAGAAGCCAAAACCAAATTATTGCCAAAGTGAGTGTAGTATGAAATCAATAGCGTTACTTGGATTTATATATGTTTAATTGACCTTCGAATAAGGAATCCAATAGTAATAAAAAACCTTTTTTTTAATTACTGTTTATTGTCGGCATTTTGGAAACTATGTGTGTTCTGTCAAGAACGTGATCTTAGCCAGAAAAATAAACAAACAAAACTATGGTACATAGTCATTATTAATCAAATTTTAAATTAAATAGGTCATTTTTAATAGAAGAGAAATGCCGCTTTTTGTCCAACTTTTCATTGAAGACAGCTGAAGTAGAGTTACCAGGAGAGTTTTTGTTACCAAGAAATTCACATTATTATGTTCGGATCGCGCGCTTCATGCCACGTGTTGAAATAGTTCAGAAACATAATGCTGCAGCTCGAAGACTTTTTATTAGAGGACATAATGGAAAAATTTACCCGTACCTGGTTGTGAATTATTTATGTTTTGGTGATACTAGAAGAGAGGAAAGAGTACTACAATTGCTAAGAATGTTAAATCATTACCTCGGAAAACAAAAGGTAACAGTAACATAAGACTGTAGAACTATATGTATATGAAAAACAATATGTTAGGCTTATTTAGCTAATCTAAAATTATAATCATAATTGTTTAAGTTTAAAGCTACTTTATATATTAAATAGTTGCACTAATTTTTATATATTATATTTGAATGATGTATATAAAGTTGCAAAGAATTTTTTTTATATATTTGTAGGAGACTTCAAAAAGATTTTTACATTTCACTATTCCGAAAGTTGTTGCTGTTTCACCACAGATTCGTTTGGTAGAAGATAATCCTGCATCGTTGTCACTACTAGATATATACAAAAAAGTAAGACATGTATATAAATCGCATCAATTTCTTAACTTATCTGCAATTTACTTCATACAAAATTAAAAATAAATTATTCTGAACATAAAAGAAATGTTTGAATTGCAAGTTATAAGATTGTATGTTTCTGAAAATTTAATCATTTTTTGGGAATTCTAAAAATAAATGAATATTAATAAATGAATTGTTTATAATATGAAAAAATAATTTTAAAAATATGAATTTTTAGATCATGATATTTATTTTATAAAAGAAAGCTAAGACCTGATTATGTGGTGTCATGTTTTAGGTTGTGCTACTACATTGGCTATTGAGCATGAAGCACCAGTAGCACGATATTATGAGAGATTGGCATCTGTTCAAGCAAGGGGTTCGCAAATATGCTATGAAATTCTTAGGGATGTTTTTCAAGAAGTGCAAAATTCCATGGCTCCTAGAACTTTGCTGAAGCATTGGGCTTTGAAAACATTTCCAAATGCTACGGATTATTGGTCTTTCCGAAAAATGGTATTTAAATTAATATATTTTGTGCATTTGTATGTTTTGTTTGAATCATTATTAAATATCAATATTTTTAGTTCACATTACAATTGGCGCTATCCTGTTTTGCGGAGTACGTTCTTCATCTGACCAGATTGAATCCTGATATGATGTACATACATCAAGATTCTGGCTTAATGAATATTGCTTATTATAAATTTGATATTGACGAAACTAATTGTAAGTACTAATTAAGAATTAAAATTTCTATCATAATCTATTTAATTGATAAAACCAATATGAGTGACAAAATGTTTGAGAATAAGAAATAAATTTTAATCTGATTGTTTCATTAATATCGTTGAAAACAGATTAAAATATATATTTAATTCCAATAAACATAATAATTTTTTTATTTCGAAGTTTTATATAATATAAATATACTAATTAATTGTCTAAAACTTAACTTTTTAGGCGAACTTCTTAGTAACAGGCCAGTTCCATTTAGACTAACACCAAATGTTGTTGAATTTGTTTCAAATTTTGGAATTACTGGACCACTGACTGCATCCATGATATCTGTAGCAAGATGTTTGACTCATCCTACATTTAAGGTAATAAACTAATGAAACTTACAAAAAATAATTATATAAGTTTAAAAAAACTAATAACAAACATTCAATACAGGTACAAACAATTCTAAAAACAATATTACGTGACGAAATTATAACAGCATATAAAAGACGTGAAGATAATAAAATAATTCAAGAAAGAAACAAAGGTATGGATGAAACTCGTGAAGCACAGTCTCTGAATCAACAAGAGAAAGCAACTGACAACTCTGTGAATGATTCAGAGCAATACATCATTTTAACCGTTGGCGTAGTTAAATCTATAACATCTCGACTAAATAGCATTGCAACTTATGAAGGAATTGATAGTAAAGTCAGCACACTTGTTACTGCTGCCACCAATTTCAATAATTTGTGTCGTATGGATCCTGCTTGGCACCCATGGTTATAAATTTATTTTCGATGCAATGTAATAATTCTATCAAAATAGTATTAATATTTTAATACGTCAAGTATAAGTATAGGTTGAGTACTTAGGCTCATATAGTTTAACTTGATAAACTTTCAATATTGACTTTCAATTGAAAATGACGTATTGCTCAATTTTGACATCAACTAAATCTATTCTTTCTAATATGTAGAAAAATATTTGATTATATCAAGGCTGAAATATTGAGTGCTTTGCACAACTCAATACTTTGCATATATATGCAGAATTTTAATAATATAAAATATAAAATATATAAAATGTCTGTGAATAGTATAATTTAGTATATTTACTTTTAAGTAAGATTGGATTAGAAGCAGTAGTAAAATAAATTGAAAAAAATTAATTCATGATGAATGGAATTGTACTTGGTATGAATGGTATTTTTTTTTAATTTTGAATTATGTTATTAAATTAATGGCATAAACGCTCTTGTATTTTATAATAACCTCAAAATGTTGAGGTACCTTAGTTTATTGCAAATTTAGTATATGATTACACAATTCCAAAATACTCAATTTCTTCAACAAAAAAAGCTCACAATTAAATTAGAACAAAATTAAATAAAAATAATTTTGATTTGCATGCTTGTCATGTGATAAATTCAACTAAGTATAGATGCTTATTGATTATATTTTTATAG